AAACAACCTTCGCCAAGCAAGAAGTCTTCATGGAGCCCTAGCTCGTTACCCGCTTCTTTTCGCAGCCATCAACCCGGTTGCCCCTTATAGGCAGTGTCACACGTGGCGAACTGTGAAGCCCCGTTTCTCCTTTCCGCACGCCGGACGCCGGACAAACTCAGGTTGCCGCGAACCTGGAAAGGCCAAGCTCTGCTTGGCCGTTCCTCCTGCAAAGCGCGAGCAAAAGGTCAGCTGGCCCAACTATCTTTACTAGCTTAGAGCACCAAGCGCAAAATCAAAGGTCTGAACAAAGCATGGTTTGGTCTCTGACATCTATGGCCTTCTTCGGTCCATGAATTGCTGGATAGGCTCCACATGGTTCTTCCCGAGTTCCTGAGCCAAACCCAAGCGTTCTCTGCTCGCATGGCACACCTTCACCTGGCGCGCCTCTTGGCTTAGACTTTGACTGAATGCTTCACATTCAAAGGGCACAACGGCAGCCAGGGCTCAATTGCTTTGCGCGGGAGACTTTCGGGTGCACTTGGGCCAAAACAAGCGGAGCATGTTGCTTGCCCCAAGCAACACTAGACATGCGTTGACCCCGGCATCAACTCCCCTTCAATGTTCTGAAACTTTGTAAAAGACTGTCCAGGCCTTTGCTCTCAACACATGCCTTGAGAATTATTTTAAACAGCTGCGCATGACGCAATGAGGGCTGTTCAGCCGGTGGAAAGCAGCTGCGCGTATCCCAGTGACACCTGGTATCACAGGCCGTGCTCTTCGCGTCACTGGTTGTGGCTCTTCTCAACAATGTGCCCTGTCAGTTCGCGGATGGTTGGGTAGTCGAACCTCGGGCGTTTGCAGCCAGCCTTTGCGATCACAGCCTGTTAGCCAAGGCCAAGCATTGCACACCCACATTGGCTAGGGGTGCTTGCGTGAGCGTTGAAGACAGGCCCAACCTTGGTGAGAAGCCGTTGACCACACAAAGCTGCTCCAACTGCCAGCATTTCCCCGAAGTGTTTTGCCGAGATTCCCAGAGAATGCCGAGTTCACCTGACTCCTGAACTCGATGCTCATCAAGCTATCCTTGGGTTGCATGAGCAAGTCGCGACTTGCGCTCTGCAAGGCTCCCGGGCTCCGGACGACTCCAGCATCCATGAAGGGCGTATCAGCTTCCTGTGAGCAGAAACCCCACGGATGCCAGGACTTCCGGACATGTCGTCCAGGAAATTTCATCGGACATTTCTTCGGGCATGTCTCCAGGCTTTACCGCAACACAACACAGGCCAAGCATCCTTTCACATCCGCTCACGCTTGAATGCCAGGCAACTCGGGGGACAACACATTCCCCAACCCAAGAAGAGATGCGCAGAATAGCTGCCCTTGCCCAGTGTCCATCTCCGAGCCCATCATCTCCCGGAGCATGTTGTGCAACATGTCGTGGACAATAGCCGGCTCTAAGCCTAAATCAGCTGATCAGCTGCTTCAAGCTCATGTCCGCCCGCTGCTTCGCACGCTCAGTATGTGACCCTTCGGCTTCTCCTCCACCACCTCTGATGCTGCCCTGGGAGAGAATGCAGCTGGCTTGACCCGCGGGAACTCTTCCAAAAAGCCATCTACATTCAGGGCACCCCACCAGCCTTTTCAGAATCCCTCTACACCTGTCGATGCAATTGAAACTTCCCAAGACCCAGGCGCTGCCGCGGGCGCCTCCTCCTGCTCCTGAGGCCCAGGTCCCTAGCCTTCATTCCCGGGCCGTCCTCTTAGGACCCATGCAGAAATCGTAACAAACATCGGCTTCTCCAACGGGGTCTTGAAATTCATGAGACATGAGAGTGACCCTCATGAACCCCAACCCGAATCCGGACGCTGCTTGTGCTGAATGAGTGGCCCATGAGCGGCCAATGGTCGCCCTGGAGCCAAAGCCAATAAGACCTCTGATCCCACATATCATATCCTGGTTTGGCCTAGCCTTGACCACAGTCCGCTCAGGAATTCGAGGAAAACCGGCATTTTGCGCAGCTTGAGTTCTACTATTCATGTTCTGAGGTTCCGTCCTCTTCCATCTGCGGCAAGGGCATCTGGGGCTGTCTTGGGCCTTGGGGCTGGCCCTGGCCTTGCGAGTTGCAAGTCATCCGCGACGTGTTGCGCCGTGCACTTCCTCTCACTTGCGCCGTTGGTTCTATTTTGCTACACATGAAGCCGCGTGCAAGTTGTGCATGTTGAATGCCAAACCGCCTTGCAGCACCTTCTCAAGGATCTCCTGCGCCTCCGGGTGTAGAAAAGAGTCTATTCAGCACAGCTTCCAGGTGACTTTTGCGAGATATGTTGACAAATGTATGGCATCCTGCCACTGCCCGTCGGTGCAACATGGGCACTCCATCGGTGACGGGATCTGAGTGGCCGGCAAGTGCTTCCAGAGACTTGTCCTCCATCGCCTGCATAGGAGAAATGAGTCTCAAGGCATTGAGGTTAAGTGAGCCCAGGCCTTCGCCATGCTCACAGCTTCCTTGGCTGCCACCAGGGCTTCGTCGTTCTTTCCGCTCACCTGGGGCTCTGCGACCACAGAAGGGAACCTGCCCACTGCCTGAAGCACGTGATTGACGCTCGGCTCTCTGTGCTCAGGCGCGGGCCAGCAGTGCCTGCGCCTTCATGTTCACCTGGCGCAGTCGCTGGAAGGAGGCAACTGAGGAAGTCACCCAGCTCCATCTGACTCCACATGCCAGAACTGCGAAGGTGCACTCGCCCAGCGCGTAGCCTCACAGCAAATGCCGGATGTTCTCAAATCTGCGGGTGATCTCCCTGACATGGCCTGTTGCCTGAGGCACGCGCCAACATCTTGGTAGATCTTGATCCCCTCGTCCGCACCATCCAACGCCTAGGAGAGCAATGAAGTCGTCATTGCCTCAAAACCTGCAGACATGAGACTTCATCTCTTCCGAGTCTCGAAAAGTCCCACTGAGCTTGCAGCCTCTTGGTACTTGCCGCTGACGAGGTTGACTTCGGACATGGCATAGAAGCAGTCGGCGATCGTCTGGCCAAGAACCCCAGGATTCAAACTCTCGCGCCCAGAAGGCACATGCAAACATCACTCTGTTCGCAGCAAAATGCTGCTTGTTGCGTTGCTTGGCCGGCTGGACAGCGAGCTGCACAGTGCCACGCTTTGGCACCGCACAGCAGTGCATGCTAGGTGCTCTGTGTGAAGGCTTGCAATTGAACAAACTCAGCGCATTCATCCAAACGTGATGCCATCCTTGTGTTGCATGACGCACGTGGCAGTCTACAAACATGCGCTGCGCCTGCTTGTGCCCCAGCTTGTCCGCGATCTTCTTGGCCTGATTTCTCACGTGGGCCCAAAGGAAACCCCGAAATGCAACTAAAAAAGATATTGATGCACTCTGTTACATCCAAACATATCCAAACTAGTCTTGTCCCCTGGCCCTTGTGCAACACCATAGCCCTCCGCCTCCCTCTCCCTCTCCCTCTCCTCTCTCTCCCTCCCGCTCTCTTTGCTCCCTCTCTCTCTCTCGCTCTGGGGGCTGCTCCGCTTGGCCAGCCCTCTCCGCCTACCAGGCCCAACGGCACGAACTCATGAGATAGCACGCTGAAAACTTCTAGCGTGTGAGGCATTGAGTTGCTGCCGCCTTAGAGAGTTGCTCTTCCAGTTCGCGGCTGCCGCGCACCCTGCCGACGGCTTTTCTTGAGGGACACCCGCCCATGTCACAGCGATTCATGACAAAGCTGTAAGGTGCAACCAGAAGCCGGACGGGTCGGTTGCGTTGATGGCAGAAAGTGGGCAGCGAAACCAACAAGGACACGACTTCGAGAGCCCGAACCCTTGCCCCCCGACTTTGTCCCAGCCCATCTCCTGCCGTTTTCGACCTGGGGCCCGGCGCTGGGACGGGTGCACAAATCTGGATTTGAGCGCCCGTGCCAACTGCGCGATCAAGGACAAATGTGCTTCCACCGTGAAAAGCAAAGTGCCAGCCTGCAAGCTGTAGCCACACCCATGGCCATGACAATCCACGAACCATGCTGCACTCCCCTGAACTCCCTCTCCTCTGCGGGCTTGTCACGAGCTCTCTTGCACAGAGAGTGGGCTTCGTACGCAAGCCGCACAGCCTGTGCTGACATCCAACTTCTCTCGTCGTCCTAACGTTGCCAAAGCCTCGGCAGGCTCATTCTTGGCGATGTGGACTTTGGCCATGCTGTGGATCACTTGTGCCAACCTGGGCGGCGAATGCTTTTTGTGAAGTCGCATCCTCTGGACACGTGGAACTACTGCATTTGAGTGCCTTGTTGGCGGCAACCTTCAGCCACCAAAGCAAAGCAAAGCAAAGCAAAGCAAAAGCAAAGCAAAAGCAAAAGCAAAGCAAAAGCAAGGCAAAGCAAAAGCAAAAGCTAGCTAGCAAACTAGCAAACTAGCAAACTAAACTAGCAAGCCAAGCAAAACAAGTAGGCAAGCAGTCAGGTAAGTAGGTAAATAGGGGTAAGTAAACAACCCTAACATGTCCAAAGGCTCGGGCAGTCGTCTCTCTCCCATGTCTGTGAAGATCTCCTGTGCCTCTTGGAGCCACTTTTCGGCCTACGAGTCCCACATCCAGACTCGCCACTCGAGACGAGCTGCGCCTCATCCAGCTCGCCCACAGATTTGTAGACATTCGCGGCCAGGAGCAGGGCCTCTCTGAAATGCTCAAACGATGCAGTGAGGCATTGTTTGTGTGGCATGCATAACATGTGTGACATGCGCCCTGCCGTGGGAAGTCTTTCTGAAGAAAGGCTTGTGCAAAAAAAGAGCGTTGGGGCATCGGCAGTGGCTTCGCCGCGGCGGTCCTGCACTTAGGCCAAGAAGACTCGGGCAGTCCCAAGCATCCAAAGCACCGCATCCCCAGCCTTGATCTCCTTGAAAATGGCAACGGCCTCCTCTGCAGTGCTCAGGGCCTGGCAACTGTAGCTGCAGCCGGCTTTCAGCTGTTGATATGGGGGCCTCCGGATACTCCTGCAGCTGGGTCTGCACTTGCCTTGCGGATGGGCGCTGGCATGTGACCGAACGCTCACTTGCATGTAAACTGCTCGACTTTGCCCTCGCTTCAGGCTGTGCAACAACCCAAACCCATCTAACACAAATATGCCGATATGCCATGCCGCTCACGTTCCCTCATTTTGCCAAAAGCAAAAAGCATGGCTTAGACAGCCTCCTGTAGAGGCAAAGCAGCCTGAACGCCTATTCTGAAAAGATAAGGTCTGCAGTTTTGCAGCCTGACAACCCGAGTGCATGTCGATTCCACGCGGCCCTGTCTTCCATGCGGTGAACTGCGAAGAGCAGCCCAAAAAGACAAGTAATTGCCAAACAGAACCTGTATCACAAGCTATTGGTGCTGACGCTCCGCTCACGCTTCTTCCTTTTGCGGCGCTTTGGCCGCCGGCTCCTGCAGACATACCATGCACCGTCAACCTCGCCTTCTTTGATGGTTCGCACCCCTTCTTTTCAACATCTGGCTAGCTTTGCAGGCACCACTCTCCTCTGGCCATCTTTGCTGCTGCTCTTCCGCTTCCTCTCCTGGATTCATAAGTTAGTTCATCCCCCCCCCTTCCGTATCCCCTCCCCCCAGATGTGATTTTGAGTGGCTTCGGGTCCAACAATGAACAAACACATTCATTCTGAATCTAGGGCTTAGTATAGTAGGGCTTTGTAGGGCTTGGTAAGGCTTAGTAAAACTCAATCATTTTGTTGCTTCAACTCTCAGTGAGACATGCCCACCACTCAAAACTGATCATGAGTGCTAGTGAGTCTTGCTTGAGCAGTTGGAACCGTAATGATTCCTATGTGTACTGCGATTGCTTAGCGGCCATTTGTGCTGCAACTGCGCCGCCCACTGAACGCCTATGAATTGAACATGTAGACCTGGTGGCACTCAAAAGCACTCACTAGCAATCAGCAAGTGCTCATTAGCGTTCAGTAAGCGCTCAGTGGCACAGTCAAAAGGCACTCAGCAGACTCAGCAGCACTCAGCAGCACTCAGCAGACTCAGCAGCACTCAGCAGCACTCAGTAGTACCTAGCAGGAAGTCAGTAACACTCAGTAACACTCAGGTAAACTGAGTAACACTTTATCAAAACCAAAAACTGCGCATTTGTTGAATCCCGATCTGTAGCACTCTGTAGCACTCTGTAGCACTCTGTAGCACTCTGTAGCACTCAGGGCCTCTCAATCATCCCCAAGAACACAGCACATGGACGGTCCAGGCTCAATCCAACCTTTGCTATGCAACATTGGAGCAAGCTGTGTTCGTCTGAGGTCCGTGGTCCCACATGTGAAATCCTTGCTGGGATCAGTAGTGCTCAGCGGCACTCAATGAGTCTTACTGACATTTTGACATTTGGGAGGGGGAATGCGAGGGTGGCGGGTTCATCTGACCTATGCAAGCAATTGAATCGCAGAGCAAAGAAGAACTGAGCTGCTCGAGTCTACCAGATTGGAACAGGCATGCTGTGCCATCGGCAAACGCCCCAAACACAGTTGGCCGCTGCACGCGTCAAACTGCCCCATTGGCAACATTGCCCCATGAGCTTGCAAACCACAAGCACATTCACCGAGCCTGCTTAGGGCTCGCATCGGCCGCATCAGCCGCATCGGCCGCAGCCGACTCCTCAGAAGCAATTTCCGTGGCTACCTCCTCCTCCTCCGGCGGTGAGATTCCTCTGGCTTTCGCGATCTGTCGCACGGCGTCCTGAGCACGGTTCGGTGATGCCGACGATCCCTACGACCAGACATGTTGGGTTCAAGGCAAAGGCAAGCAAGGAACATCCTTTTGATGGAAACAAGGGTTACCCATCCTGTGACAATGCTAAAGGAAAAAGGGCTCCTTCAGTCCCGTCACAACAAACCTTCTAAGCACTGCCCAAGAGAAACTATCAGCATCTAACAAAAGCAGTAAAATAGGTGGTTTGTCCAAGGCTTCACTTAACTTCACGAGGGAGGCACCCGTGCGCATTGGAAATCAGGTCTCTTTTCCTTGTTTCTCCCCTGCAGATTTACAATTTACATGAAGCCCAAAGCACACATTTCGATCACGGACCCTATTTGAAGGCGCGCCCAGTGTTTGGGGCCAAAAAACTGTTGCAGGATACGATTTTCCAGATGGGCCAAACGTGCTTAGAAGCGCGACTGTCCAAACAGCGCCAGAAACATGCCAAGCTGCCAGCGCTCTCTCCAAAGCCTGCCGGTCTGCGGAGGTGCTCAGTGTGTCCAGTAGTCCCGGAAGTTGCGGGTCTGCAAGCACCTCCCAAACATCTCGGGATCACACCCCACAGCCCGCAACTCACAACCCTCTGGCCTCCTGCAGGGCGTCGCTCCTGTCAGTCTCCTCGGCATCGCTGGCCAAAGCCGACCTGCACCCAACTGTGCTGTGGCCCAGCGCAACTCTCGGATTGAACATTGCTCCAGTCCAAACGTGTTTGAGAACCATGGAGCGACACCATGAGGCGGATGAAGCGCTGAATTGCTGAAATTCAGTTGCAATTCTTTCATGCCCGGTGGTTCCTGGAGTGAGAGGTTGTTCAAAGCGCAATTCAATTTAGCTTCCCGCCTTGCATGCAAGGAGCAGTCCTGGGCACTAACAAGTGTAAAGTGGCATCCGCCAGACAAGTGGCTGTCTAATTTTGTAGATATGCCTGCTCGCAGAAAGGGCTGCCCAGCAAACAAAGTTCTTTTGCAAAGCATCATTTTCATGAGGCAGGACCAATGGTTGGCTGCTGCAGGTGGCTTTGTGCAGTTTTGCATGAAGCTATGATTTGCCTCGGTCCATTTATAAGGACCGAGGTGACTCGAACAGGCGGAAGGAAGGAAGGGGGTGAATCCAAACGCTTGCCTGCCTCTAACGCAGCATTGCCCTCTCCCCACTGCCGAAAAAATACATATATATATATATATATATTATATATATATATAATATTATATATAATGTTGCACACTCGCTGGCTTGCCCCTCGCCTCAGGCGATGCAAGCCCACCAGCGAGGCCTCCATGCTGGCTTTCACCACCGCCTCGTGGCGCGCCAGCGCGGATGCTATCCGTCTGCTGTCCTGCAAGGGGCTGGGGCTTTGGTTCTGCACAGTGGTTTCGGTGGCCCCTGAGCACAAAGGTAGAAACATACTAGCGCTTTCACGCCCGTCGGAAAAGCGGACAGCACCGACTATGTGAGCTTGGATGGCTTGCAACAAAGCTGCGACCAGGAGGAGCAGGAAGGAAGGGAAAGGGAGAGCATGCGTGCGACTGCCCGACTGCCTAAAACAACCGCTTGCTTTTGCACGAAGACTCCTTGCCAGAAGCCTCGGCAGCTGCCGCCTCCAGCTTTTTAAGCTTCTTCTCCGCCTCTTTGGCCCTCTTGTCGGCCTGCTCTCCTCAGCACTGCCAAATTGCTGTCGATCTTCTCAAAGATGTAACAATTATGGTCCTAGAAAGCCAGGCTGTGAGACTCACATGACATACCGCCAGGCAGATTTGCGTGGAACTTGAGGACGTCCGCCCCTAGAAAGCGGCGAGTGTCTTTGTTGGCGTCCCTCCAAAACGACATCCAAAGTGAAGTCCCAATTCTAGGACCCCCCCGCCCCCGCCTTTGGGTTGACACAACTTTGCAGCCCGAAAATGGCTGAAACATGTTCCAAAACAAGGGGCGCCCTTGGAAATGGTCGGTTTCCAAAGGAGAATAACCCATGAGCCATTTGCCTCCAATCATGGAAGTGGACAGGGCTCTGCAAAGGAAAGCCGTCCAAAACAATCAGGCACTGAGATGCACGTGACATAGGACCTTGCAGCACCTGCACAATTGCAACCTGAGATGGGAAACGTGGCCGTTACCAGGCTAGGTTGACCATACTGTTCTGCGGGCTTCCGGGGACAAGCGTGCCACCATGGGATTATGCCCCTCTCACCGTCAGATTGCCATCCTCGCTTCCCTGCAACTACAGCCATGCCGCGTTTGCAACTCCTGGATATCGATTACCCTCCGGTTTGATGGGCCCATCCCCAGTGCTTGGGTCAGGCCTTCAAAGCTTGTCTCAACGAATGGTAGCATTTGAATGTGCGTTTCCGGGCTTCGTTATGTGGAAGTCTGAAGTGGCATTGCGGGAGTTAGCATTTACAAAAACCATTGGAAACAGCATCGGGCACTCGCACACTCCCTGCAAATGACATAGGAGTTTTGCATTGACCTTCGCATGTGCCAGGATCCTAGGTCATGTATCCGTTAAACCGCTAAAAGAAACAAAACACGCGACCAAACAAATGCAACAAGTCCTCACTCGTGTTGCCGCATGTTCTTCAAGCGCCATGCTTTTGGCATGGCACTAGCTTCCTTCAGCTCCGCTACTTGCGCGATCTGCACCTCCGCCTCCGCTAGCCGCTTCCGCGCCTGTCAGATGAGGCGCCAAAAAAGAAGCACCAGGGTCCAGGGTGGGAAGAATGCAAAACGACGCCAGGATGAGGCCAGAAAAACCAACTCAAGCTTCGAGCGGCCTTTCCCATCGTCCCAACCCCCAGCCCTGCCGCCCTGCCTCCCTGAGTTCGTCTTCCAGGCGCATGGCCCGAGCTTCCGCCTCGGAGAGCTGCTCCCGGACCAGGTCCTCCGCCCGCCGCGCCTCCTGGACCAGCAGCTCTGCCTCGGAAAGGTTGTGGCGCAAACGCCGAGATTCGTTTGCGAAGCGACGGAGAAAACCGCATTTTCATGGAGATGTGTCAGATTTTCTGGGGCTTTGCGATTGTCACCACAGCGCCAATGATGAGACGCCAAAGTGTTCTTTACGATTTGTGCGTTGTGCTGCAAGCACCACGAGAAGCAACTCCCCGCTCGAATCACATTTGTAGTTAACAACGCAAAATGTCCGCTGTTGTGGCCGTCTGCGTGCAGCTCACAAATGTGAGTGAGTCACATTGCCTGAAACAAAAGTATCTAAAAAGTGCTGGAACCCTCACGCAATCACAGGAAGATCCAACTTCCCACTGAAGAATGAACGCCATAGA